GGGCGTGGGGAGAGCAATTGAAGGATGGTAGGGATTGCCGCCTTTCCCACAGGCTGCTCCAGAGAAGCGGACACGGAGCAATGGATCCAAACTACAAGAAAGAAGATTCCACCTAAACATTAGGAAGAACTTCCTGACAGTAAGAGCTGTTCAACAGTGAAATTTGCTGCCAAGGAGTGTGGTGGAGTCTCCTTCTTTGGAGGTCTTTAAGCAGAGGCTTGACAACCATATGTCAGGAGTGCTCTGATGGTGTTTCCTGCTTGGCAGGGGGTTGGACTCGATGGCCCTTGTGGTCTATTCCAACTCTATGATTCTATGATTTTATATCCCACCATTGTACCAAGGTTCCTGCAAGGCCAGGAATAAGGGACTCGGGAGGTGAGATTCAGGAACAGGAACTGGAGCACCCAAAGGAAGCTGTTAGAACAAGTGCAGAAAGGAAGAGGCAAGCCCCAACCAACCAGCCGGCAGTGTTCACACCCGGAGGGTCCAATCCCAGGAGGAGGACCCCTCCAGTCTGGTGTTTTACCACAGGTGTATTCTGCAACATATTATTGACACAATAATAATGCATTAGCACCAGATTTATTCTGTTGGAGGAAGTAAACCTCTGGATACCAGCTGCAGAGATCGCTGTTGTGCTCAGGTCCTGCTTGCTGGCTTCCCATAGGCATCTGGCTGGCCACTGCGAGAAGAGGATGCTGAATTTGAAAGGCTCCAGCAGCCTCTTCTTATGTTCCGATGTACTTCCTTGGAAGCTTTTAAGAGGAGCCTGAATGATCATATTGTGAAGGTTTCCCATATACAAGATATCCTGCTTTCCAGGGTCCCTTCTGGCCTTGCAGTTTGTCGCTGTTGCTGCTTCTATTTGACTTCAAATAAACTTTTGCTTAGAAGAGATGTGCAGCACCCCAGCCAGAGGAGATTTTGAGCATTTCTGATATTCTGCTCACAAGGGCATAGTTCCACTGGGATCCCACCAAACACTAATGCCAAATTCTCTGAAAGAAGAGGAGGAAAGCAGCCACTACAAGCGTCTCTTGGGGTGTTCTCGCTGTTTCCCTTGGATGCACAGACTGGCCACAGGGAAAGATGCTACAATGACTCGTGACCTAAGGGCACCACTGCGCTGACCCTGCGAGGAGCCTATTGTCACAAAGACCAACCGAACCAGGCTGCTACATGTACGTGTAACTGTAAAGGCATGTCGTGAATTAAGTAATCTAATAAACACTGTAATAATAAAGTATTTATTGCGCATAATGAAGTGTTAGTGATTAGAAAGGTTGGGCACACTGCTGCGGTTTCTCCTGAACCCTTGCCAGTATTACTCAAAGCTGATTCTGGAGGCAGCAGTAGCTTTGGAGGAAAGGTTCCCGGCTTTGTTTTGATCGGCGTGTTGAGTGTTTGAGCTGCCATTCGGGTTTCTTTATATCACCCTGTAATTGACTGCTCTCTCGAGGTGCAAAGAAACAGAAATACAAAAGGCGGAAGGAAAAGCTCAGGCTCCTTCTGCGAAATCCGCCGCTGAAACTGTGCTGCTTTCCCGAGAGCCGATTTCGGTAGCAAAAGGGCACTTTGTAAACAGCTGGTGAAAATAGACTGGAACTCAAAGTTGGCTTGTGTTAAACTCCACAAGAAAGCCCGATTTACCCTCCTGCACCTCCTTTGTCATGTCAATCAAACCACTTTCCTGCTCCCTCAGGAGGCGCTCACAAAAAGGATAGAGAAACAGGGGGGAAAGTAAACAAAAATAAAAAGGCACATAAAGTCCTCCCAAGGCCTTTACTGCACTAGAGAGCTTGTGGAAGAGAACAGGCCAGGCAGCTGGTCCCTGGCCAGCCATTCTTGGGCCAAGGCAGGGCAAGTGAGGGCATCGCTTAACCATCTCGAGTTGTTGCCCTCTCTTGCCCTTGCTTGTCAGACTCCACTGAGCTCTCCGGTCAGCACACATCAGTTTGGACTCCCTCTCCCCACCCACCAGAACACAGGCTGCAACATGCAGATGTTGGGAAGGAGATGCAGAAAAACTCAAGTGTGTAAGGGAATGAACCTAAGTTAGTCATGTCCATTAACTTCAATGGGTCTATTCTGCGCAGGCCTATGGTTGAATGGCACCCAATGTTCTCCTTGGACCCCTGCCCACACATACCTGTTCTAGAACAAGTGTCTGTGCAATATACTGCAGGCAGGCAGCATTTGCTAAAACTGTTTTGCATGTTAGAAGGAGGCAGATTACATTTCAGTGGGGCTCACCCAGAGGAGCTGATGCTCCTGTGATTAGAAGGGGGAACCCACAGCTCTGTACACAGCTACATCATGTGATGAACCACCAGGGCTATAGGCTAGAAATCTCGTTGGCTTGGTCCAGGGGGTTGTCTGCCACCCAGGCTGGCCATTGGCTTTCCTCAACAGGAAGGGCTATACAAGCTTCCAGTTCAGTGTAGGACTTTGCCTGGGCTAGGATAGTATTTCCTGGGTCTGGCTTGGCCTGGCTATTAATTTATTTCCTAGCCTGGTCGCCAGCTGAACCTCCCACAGATCGTCAGTCCTGACACTGGCAGATTGCACTTGCTGGTTATCAGCCTAATATTGCCAAGTTCTCCAATCAATCCTTAAAAAGGATTTGGTCCCATACATTTTACCACCCTTGCAACTCTCCTTTGAAGCCTGTCGAATTTACCAACCTCCCGGCACCCAAAGCAGAACATTTAGAAGGCATCAGGTTGAGGAGGGCTGGCTAATAACTTTAAGAATGGTGTTCATATGCCCTTCTTCCGAACAACAGTAGCTCTGGCTGGGAATTCAGAAAACAGGAATGAAATTTTCACTGTTCCTAGAAGCACCTGGATTCCTACCTGACAGACAGATCATTTTAAGAAAACAACCCCTTTCCTCTCCTAAATAATCCAAGCGGGTTTGGCTCCTTGGTGTAAAGCGGTAGTCTGCTAATCTGGGGAACCGGGTTCGCGTCTCCGCTCCTCCACTTGCAGCTGCTGGGTGACCTTGGGCCAGTCACGCTTCCTTGAAGTCTCTCAGCCCCACTCACCTCACAGAGTGTTTGTTGTGGGGGAGGAAGGGAAAGGAGAATGTTAGCCGCTTTGAGACTCCTTAAAAGGGAGTGAAAGGCGGGATATCAAATCCAAACTCTTCTTCTTCTTCTTCCTAAATGCCGTCGCCAAATGCTCAGGCCTCTTCATCTCCTTCAGTACCATCTCACATCACAAGCGCTGATGAAGGGGCTGCTGCCGTGCTTTTCATCTGCTCCACTGTGGCGCTGTCTCCAGGGATGGAGAGCCGTGCATCAAAGCTGTCTCCTCTTGCAGAGCCATGATCTCAACATCTGGCACAGAGTTTCCATCATCACAGCAATGGGTGACAAAGGGACAACCGTCTCTGGGTGCGAGAGAGGCCAACCAGTACAGGGTGTCCTTCCTGTTAATGCCCCCCCCATCACCACAAGGCACTGAACTGGCTAGAAAGAGCACATGGTGGGACTCACTTCTTCCCTCGAAAATTATCAAAAGCATGGGGAAGGCCATGCCAGCAGAAGATCAGCCAGACTTGTTTGTCTCTCTCTCTGAGAAATATACATTTCTAGTATATATTTCTTTCATAATGTTTATTAATGCTGTTCATAGCTCTGGGGAGCCTTTGGGCCCCAAAGCAGTAGATAAATAAACTATACCATACCGTTAAAAGAACAACTACCCTTTGTGGAATTGCTGCAATATCTGCACTTCCAGCCAGAGGGAAGCAAAACACAGGCACAGAAGTGATGCTAGCTGAACTTCCTTGCTCCTGAGCTGGCAAGGGCAGTTTGACTTTGCAGCCCTTTATTCTTTTGAAATTCCAAGGACGTCTCCATTTTGCTAAACCTCTCCCCTATTTGCTTATTTATTTATTGGCTTATATACCACACAGTGGAAAAAAGCACGTTGGCAGTGAATGTAACACATCCGTAAAGCACCATTAAAAAAAAAAAAGCTTTATCAACATCTGGACAGTGATACACAATAACTGATGCCAGAGTTGCACATCAGAAATGGGTTGTGTAAACAGAATGGTCTTGGGCAGGTGTTGAAAACTAAGCACTGCTGGTGCTTGCTTGATAGTAGCAGGCAAGAAGATCCACAACGGAGGCACAGATGCACTACATATCCTCTGTATCTTAAAGAAGCCAGGCATATATCATGGGCCACCCTTAGCTGCGCCGTTCCAGTCAAATGTAATAATTGGGCTGGTATATGTGAGGCAAGGCTAAGCTATTAGGAGCAAAGGAAAAGATCTACTGCTTAGTCTTAGCATGGATGAATGAATCAACATTTGCAGAACATCTCAGAGCCAGAAAGCATAAAGTACCAGAGACAACCAGCCAATCTTACCTAGGGCAGCAAGAACTCTGAAGTCTTTAGGACTCACCACGTGACACATGGCCCAAACTGATCAGAGCATAAAATAACATCATTCTGAAGGAAGACCACAAAAACTACCAGTAAAGGAAAGATGGGAGGGCAGTAAATGAAGGGATGCAGAAAGGAAACCTCAAAAGGTGCTCAGGTGATGGGTATGTGATGGGAAAATGTTTTTGGTCATTTGTTGGAAAAGTCAAATTACTGTAGTTACTCCAATGAAGAGAGACAATGGAATCAAAACACATTTGGGCCAATGAACCACAATCTGTGCACCTTTGAGGTCATGACACAAAAGATACTGGACCACTAAGACTTTCTTTAGCCTCCCACAAAATTCTTATATTTATCATTCATTGCACACTTCCAGTCTGAAAGAAAAGATCCCATTCTTGTTTATTTTAATTTACAAAGGCTTCCCATTTTGCTCATCTGGAAGAGATTGTTACCTGCTGTGAGAGCCTATTTACAGCAAGCCTACCCCCACCCACCCCAACCTCACTCTAATATACAGTCTCTTGCCGCACTTCATCTGAAAGGTTAGCAGACAGGTGGCAGCCCCCCGCCCAGCAACCCTGGCAAACTTACCGCCTTTGCATTGAACTCAGGAAGCATGATGCATGTTGCGCCAACCCAGAGGGGACATAGCAGCTTGTTGACCACCCCGTGGACATGATGCAAAGGCAGAACATGGAGAATAATGTCATCCTTTGTCCACTCCCATTTGTTAATCAGCCCAGTTATCTGCAAGGATATTTAAACAAACAAACAAGCAGCATTAGGAGTAGAGGCTGCAAACAAGTATGTACACCATTTGTTTCAAAAATGAAGCCCCAGAGCTTAAACTAATGTCAGTGGGAGGCATAAAAAGAACAGAAGAGGAAACCTTTAAGGTGTGTTAGAAATACAGTTTATCCAGCCCGACATGTTTAGAGGGCATCTACGGCATCTCCTTCTGCATCAACCCGCTACCTCTTTGCCATCCCCTCTGAACAGAGCTTTAGACTAAAAATTGGCAGGATTTAGACTGCAGCCGGTGTGTCTGCTTTGAGACCTGTTCTACAGCAGGTCTTTGTTCAGGTCCTTGTCAGGAGGGCCAACAGCCCATTTTACCATGAGCCACAGAAAAAGCAGGCATGTGATTGGTGCTTTTTTTAAAAAAAACCTGTTAGAATTTAGTTGCCATTGTTTTGTTATTATGATTATTATTATTACTGCTGAGAAAGAAAAGAAACATGTTTCTTAACCATGATCTGTAAACAACAGAAACCCACAGACTGGAGCATGTATGGAGCAAAGAGCTCCAAGCTCTTTGATTTGCTCAAGCCACAAGGTCTGTGTGTTTCTGCCTCCCTAAAGGTACAATTTTATCCACTGCAGGCAGAGACCTTGTGCTGCCATGGCAGTCAGCAAGACTCCAAACTTCTAACTTTTTTTTTTTTTGTGCTCAGGGAGCTAATGGATTTTTTCTGCCTTGGGGATACACAGCTAAAGAGTAAACAGACTTTTCAAGATGCCTTTGTAGTCATCTTGTAGCAATGCAAATGGGTAAGAGAAGAAACTGCTCCAAGCTGGAACTGTCACCTCTGCTCTGCAGGGGAAGAAATACAGCAGAGTACTGGGAAGTGTCTTAAAAATTAGAGTGATGGTGTTTAAACCTGTCCTAGAGCTCTGCTCCTGATCCTAAACACAGGGATGATGGCTGTGATTAACAGAGGTTTTTTGTTGTTGTTTTTTTACAATCAAACAGTATATAAATTGTACGAAACAAACAAACAAACATCACCCCACAAAGACTCAGAGGCACCCCTCTCTTTTCCTACTACTACTAATGTTCCCCAGTTGAGCCCATCCACAACAAAACAGGTTCCTAAGTGAGCTGCTATTGAGTAGGTGAAGAATAAACTCACCACAGCTTGGACATTCTGGTGGGTGCTGAGGACACCTTTGGGTCTCCCAGTTGTGCCACTTGTGTAAATGATCATGGCACCCCTGCCCTTCCACTCTGAAATGGGGCAACTGGCTTCAAAAAGGGATGCATCCACTTTTGAATCACATCTCCCAGATTTGGGAAGCGAAAGCACAGGAACCCCAAGTTTCCCAGCACTAGGGGTGATCTTCTCCACATACTCTTCCTCTACAACAAGGAGAGCACTTTGAGAGTCCTTGATGAAATACTCCAATTCCGACACAGGGTGTTTTCTGTAAAGAGGAACAGCTGTGCCTCCACTCATCCATGAAGCCCACTGTGCAGTTACATAGGAAGCATCATTGGGGCACAAAAATGAAATCCGTTCACCCTTCAAGTCTCCGCCTGAGTTCCCGAGAGTCTTGCAGATCATCTGGGATAGATGGAGGCTTCGAGCGTACAGGTCTTTGTAGGAGTGTTCTCCATGTTGGTCAACAATGGCAATTTTATCTCCAAAGGCCAGTGCTCTGGTGAAGACAGGAGCAACCTGTCCACGACAAGGTGTCCTGCTAGTATGCAGGCCTTTAAAGATGCAGTGAGCAGCCCTTAGGCCAGAGGAGTCCCAGCCTCGAAGGCATAAGACACGAACTAGACATTTGGCCAGATAGCTCCTATTTGAAATTAACAAGGAGCCTAACATTTCTCTGGTGCCTCCTGGCTAGCTGTGGTGCTGGAGAAGGAAACAAAAAAACTCAGTCAATATGCAGAGCATGACCAAAAGATCAGCTCAAAGACCATAGGAAGGGAGAAAGCTGCTGCGCTTCAGTCCTGCCTGTGGGCTTCCATTGGATATCCAGTTGGACACTGTGAAAGCAGGGTGCTGGAATAGATGGGCCACTGGCCTGATCCAGCAGGCTCTTCTTATATTTTTAAGACACACAAGAAGGGCAATGGTAACACCCTGCAAGACATGTTTCCTTTCAGATCAAAGACCGCCAATGGCAACTTTATTGTAAAGAAAAAACATGCAGCATTCTGCAGGACTGAATAATAATTTCTCATCACAGAAGTGCTGCCAGGAAAATATCATGCACCCCAGTGCTCTGGTCTCAAAGCTGACTTGGCCCTTCAGGATACAAGATGGGCCATGAAGTATACTGTGTTTTCAGTTTAACAGATATCGGTCCAACAAGAGAAGTGACCTTGCCGGATCTAGAGATGTGTTTCATCTTGAACATTAAGAATGGGAAACCCTGGGGTAGGAGGTAATTATGGCTCAGCAGTACTGTTGTAGTGATGTAACCCAGCGGAAAATGTTGGCACAAAACAGCAAAAATGTGAGGTGTTTTCATGCATCCAGGCCATTCACGTAAGGAACACTAAGCCAGAGGATGTAATAAAGCTGAAAGTTTAAGCAGGAACCGAGTGGAAGGGAAGAGTGTAAGATGGCATGTTGGGGGGCTGCTCACAGGAACTGAAGCAATTTATAGGACTGTTTATAGCCACCTCACAATTAAATTTAAAAGCTCAAAGGGAAAAACTTTCCAAGATTCAATGCATTAATGAACAAGGTGTGGTTTTAATATGAAGCCCAGCTTGGCCAAGTTGTGTGCATTGATGTGCACAACCGCTGACAACAAGCTTAATTCTCTCCACCCGCCTTAATTTCCTCTAAGCTAAAAGCCATAAACTTTTTGGCTTCAACATTCTCCACTTTTTAAACCACTCTGAAAGAAGCTGCTGATTTTGCGTGGGAAGGGCTTTTAACCAAATGTGTCACGCACCAGTGGAGAAGGAAAAACACATCCGATGACAGCAGCTTACCCTCTTTCCATTTCACACATTCCTTCCTAACCTAGCAGCACAACTTTAAAAAGGTGTGTGTGTGTGTGTGTGTGTGTGTACCTAACAATGAGGTTCGTTAGCAAAAACCAAATCACCTTCTTTATAACTTTAAAGCCCCCTCCCCAAGACAAATTCTTGCTGCTGAAGGTGTGTGAGAGAGCTGTTAACAAGGGTGCTAATTGGGAATGTGTATATCTTATATATCTTCCACATGCATGGAACCAATCCATAATAGGACACATATTCTCAGCAGAAAATACTGTGGTGCGAGTTGCTACACTGGAATGGAATTATCAAAGGATTTTCTGTGTATATACACAAACAGCACAAATTCAGGAAATCTGGCATATATTAGATACCCTTTTATACATATTAACCTTCTGTTCTCACAACCAGAGTTGTGAAATGATGCTAATTTCCCACCCTTTTAATAAGAATAGAAGAGCTCTACTAGATCAGATGTAGACCCATCTAGTTCTCACAGTGGTGAATAAAATGCCCTAACTCAGCAAATGAGTACAACTGCATTCTCCCTTCATATTCCTGAGCAACTGGTACTCAGGGGCATACCACCCTGGACAATACATACTGGACAATACATAGTCATCATGGTTAGTAGCCATTAACAGCCTTATCTTCCATGAATGTGCAGCAAATTCCATAATTTGACTGTGTGACAAAATCTTTCTTTTTGTCTGTCCCGAATCTCCCAACATTCAGCTTCACTGGATGACCCCTTTGGGTTCTAGTAATATGAGAAGGGACATAGCCTTCTCTGTGTCCACTTCATGCATAATTGTACATACCTCTGTCATCTGCCCCCATATTCACCTTCAGTCTAAACTATTTTAAAAAACCCAAATTTTGTAACCTTTTCTTAAACACAAGTTGTTCAAGCTATCGGTTGCCCCTTTCTGCATCTTTTCCAGCTCTATGATACTTCTTTTCAGACCAGAACTGCATTCCAAGTGTGGTCGCAACTTTATCTCTCCCAAAGGCTCATCTAGTTCAGCATCTTGCTCTCACGCTGTCCAGTTGTTTCTGGGGCAAGCAGGACTTGAGGGAAACATGACCCTCTCAACTTGCGATTCCCAGCAACTGGTATTCTGAGGCATTACTGTTTTCGACACCGGAGATAGAACATAGCTATCACAGCTAGCAGTCATTGATAGCCCTATTCTCTATCACTTTCCCAAACTAATTACATCTGGACAATCCCTGTGACAATATTTGCCTTGCTTTCTTTTAAAGCCAGTCCTGTTAGTGGCTGTCACTACTTCTTGCGGGAGCTTGCCAGTACTGAAGTCTCAAAAGCTTCAGAAGGGAATTCAGTTTCCTCTTCCAGTTTACCCATGCTGTGCTTTAAATATACATCCTACTTTATAAGCAACTGGCAAGACCTGCATTGTAAACAGTGATCATGATGCTGTAAAAAACTAATGTGACCTCCAAGGAGGGTCAACAGGCAAGAAAGTGGGGGTACCCGTACTGTTGGTCTACTATTTTCACAGAAACAAAAGCACAGCACAAAAGATAGCACTGCCATCAGAATAGATATCCCCCATAGAGACAAATAAATAGTTCCTACAGAGAGGGATAGGCTGTGGGTTGCCACTTTCCTCTACCACAAGCAAGTGCAGTGTAGCACTTAAGAGGGTTGGAAAAGGACCTGGGAGAACAGGGTCCAAATCCCAGCTTGACTATGAAGCTCATTTTGAGTGACCTCAAGCCAGTCACTGTCTCTAAACCTAGCCTGCTTCATAGGGTTGTTGTGAGGATTATTTGTTTCCATGCCATCTTGAGCTCCTTGGAGGAAAATGTGGTTTAGAAAATAAATAAGCCCTGTTCCTGTGCAATTTAACTGCAAGGGTTTAGCAAATGAAGCTTTTCCTGGAACGGAGAGAGAAATGGTGGGGGGGGGGGGACTTTAGCTGCAAAATGTGGTCAGGCAAGAGCAGTGAGGGTGCTGGAAGATGGAGGGTGAGGGAAAGGAAAACCCTACTACCTCCCCGCCCCCACGCCCTATGTGTAGAGGGGGTAATATTTATTTATTCCATTTATATTCCCGAAGGAGCCCAGGGTGTCAACTAACTAATGCACCTGAAGAGACAGGAGGTGCATCGCCTGGGCTGGGGAGGGAGCGCGTGGAGGTGGAGATGAAAGGTCCCCGCTTCACTTTCAGGGACCAGAGAGGGGAAGGAAAGAGCAGTGACACCTTCCTCTCACCCCGCCGCCGGTCATTATTGTCACTCCCCAGCAGAGAAGAAGACGGAAGCCCCTTCCCTTCTCCGGGTCAGCCTCCGCTTCCACCCCCGCTTTTGTTCTCACCCGCAAATCAAGACGGACGGACGGCGTTCGTGCTTCGGCCTGCCGGTCCGTCCGCCAACGACGTCCCCCGTGCAAACGAGGAGCGGCCACGCGAGTTCCGGGGCATGCGTGGGACGGCGAAGGTGTCGGGGAAGGAGGGCAGCTCCCGCGTACCTGACGTCGCTACAGAGCCCTGACGTCGTCACTGGATGTTAGGGTGGAGGAGTCCGATCTGATGTCATTGGCGTCGTGTGATGACTTTTTTTGGCAACATTGCCTATGACGTCAGGATCACAATTCGGGGGTTCTCAACATGCAGAGTTTGGTTTGCAGAGAAAACGAACGCACCATAATAAGCATAATAATCACTCGGCACCCTCATCGTTGTCTCATCATATATTGTTTTGCTGCCCCCCTCCCCACGTCATCGGACCTGTGCCTAATATTAGAATTTACTTGCCATCTTTTACAGTTTGGTTGGCACAGCTATACTATAGACTCGTAAGTGCTGACCATGTGACCTGTGCACAGTCATCTACAGTGGTACCTTGGGTTACATACGCTTCAGGTTACACACTCCGCTAACTTAGAAATAGTGCTTCAGGTTAAGAACTTTGCTTCAGGATAAGAACAGAAATTGGGCTCCGGCGGCACGGCAGCATCAGGAGGCCCCATTAGCTAAAGTGGTGCTTCAGGTTAAGAACAGTTTCCGGTTAAGTACGGACCTCCGGAACGAATTAAGTACTTAACCTGAGGTACCACTGTATTTGAAGGGCCGCTGGGTTTGAAGGACTTTCTGGTCCAAGTCTCATTTAAATATAAATATGTGGCCAGGCACCTTGAATCCACAGTTAGCACCTGGCAGGGGAATGAGCAGGCACACAGATCACCTGGTTGTAGTTGTGCCCATTGGAGGGATATATGTTGTATTTCTATTTAAATTATAGCAATTATTACTAAATTTGCATATATGCAAAGTTTATGCATCTTTGTACACTATTTTAAAATGACATTTCTTTGTTCCAAGGAGATCAGCCCCAGTGCCTCTCTGACGTGACACTTGAAACACAGAATTTGCTTATGTTCATTAAAATTTGAATTTTATGTAAACTCTGGATTGTGGTCCTGTTTATGTTTCTGGAGTGAGATGATAATAGCGGGATAATAAAAAAATCTATGAATTAATGATGTCTAATGATGTCTTTCAGAGTTGTGGAACTATTTGTATTCTGAACTTATTTTAAAAATACATTCAAGCTGAATGAAGATTTTCACTTTTGTGCTTTGTTATACGTAGTTTTCTCTTTCAAATATTGATAGGTACAAAATTTTAGTGCATCAGCAATGCATGAGGTGCTGCAGCAATATATATTTTTAGTGTTGCTCCTAGGTCTTCACAAATTTAGAGGTAGGTGTGTTTTATTCATTTATTTAAATATTACTATTTTAGTAACCCACCACTCAATGGTTTAAGAGTACTTGTTTGTCAAAAAGAGAGGACAGAAAAGGGTTTCATCCAGAGCCTTCCCTGAATTATTTCCTACAGAAGTCTTCCAGAGCACAGTTTCATCTTAAATCTCCCTGTTTTTTGTATCTCAGCTTTCATTTAAACAAGGCCTATGTCAAGCCCATCACAAATGCACAGAGCAGCTTGCAAACCTGACTGGAACAGAGACCCTAAAGGCTCAGAAACGAAAACGCCAATTAAGCAGGCCCCTAGAGTATTCTGGTATAAAGGCCTTGTGATCTTTAAGTCAATGTCATGATTTTTTTCTTCTTCCTGGAGGTGTGATGTATAATTGATCAGCCTTTGGGACTGCCAAACCCTTGTTGCCCCTTCACACATCTGTGAAACACTGTACACTTGTTAGGGCCCTTTACGTCAAGCTTAGTCTACGCACACTTCAAGTACGAGGTGTTAGAATCCTGAGGTGGGAAAATGGACTGTGTCACCAGACTAAAGATGGGAGGTCTTGGATTTAAATGCTGCCTTATATTTAAAAACTTGCTGTGAATTCATAAAAATTGCACACACAACAGCACAGCCACAAAGAGGCCTTCCTAGAACCTTTCTCCCTGACCTGCTAGCTCTCTGTTTGCAGGGAGGTTATTTTTAAAAAAAGAAAAAAACAGACATGAGAGAGCAATTCACCTGCATCCTTAAGCGGTACAGTCCTTTTTTCCACTGGGGCTTTCTACCTTTTAAACATTATTTATAGAGCATCTTCAAAGGAACATCTCACCCTTGCCACTTGAGATGAGGTGGGTGATGAATGGGGATGAGGGCTTTTTCAGTGGTGACACCCAGCCTATGGTTTCTCTTCCTTGAGAGGCATGTCAGGCACCAAGCCTACTGCCTTTTCAGTACCAAATAAAGACCTTTTTATCTACCCTGGTCTTTTTAATCCTCTATTTTTTATGCTTTCATTTTTTAAAAAATTCTTACATTCGTATCCTACATTTCTGGGATGCAGGATGGTATATAAATGGTTCCCAAGTGGTTTCCCATCAGCAGACTCAGGCCTGCTTAGTGTCAGCAAGGCAGTGGGCTCTGTGAATTCAGACCTTACCCTGGGATATTTTTGTACTGTTGCGGTTCCTCCTTTGCACTTAGGTTAATCTGCTGCTGTTTTTAGATCACACCTCATTCTCATCATTCCACACATGTGTAGACTTAGCTTGACTTTAAAATTATATTGCATTTTATGGATACTTCGTTCTCTTCCTTTTTTTTTTCAAATTCAGAATGACACCAGAGGGCAGAAAATATTTACCTTCTAGTCCTGCATTCACTTCCCAAGAGTGGCCATCTAGATGATCCCTTAAGTGGGGCAGGAAGATGTTAGACTTCCTTGGTTATTTCCCCCAGCTTCTGACATTTGGAGGTATACTGCTTCTGCACACAGAGCCAGAGGCAGCTTCCCAACACCTGGGATTGGAGATAGGTCCTCAAGTCAGGGCAGAGACAGCTGAGGCCCTGCACCACTGCAAGTGTGCTGGCCAGCCTGGCATGGAGAAAGCTTTTTGGACTGTGCAGAAGCTATGAGGGGATTCCTGCTGCACCAGAGCATGTGCGTTGTGTGGCAGACGTGAGCGGCCTTGGCACAGCCCTGTGCTTTCGAGACTCTGGCTCTGCTTTCAGACACATGGCAGAACGTTGGGCGCATCTGCCAGCTCCAAAAGCAGCTGCAAAGGGGGCTTGCCTCTTTGCCTCCACTCTGCCACTCTGGTTGAGGGAAATCAGGCAGTGTAACACTTTGTCAGCTACCTGTGGCTGCGGCCGTAGCACCAGGCAGCTGCAAAACGGATTTGTTTCCAAATAGTGGCACATGCTTTCGGAGCGTGCCTTTTCCGCTCGTTCTGTTTATTCGCTGGCTTGTTTTTAAATCCCACTTTTTGGCTGACGATACCGGGGTGGCAGATTCCGGTTAAATAATTCAACAATGCTTCATCATTCTCCAGCAACCTGTCGTTGCCTTTCCCTCTGCCATATGTGAAGCAGTAACCATCAGTTGCTTCAGACATCTTGTAAAGACTCATCTGTTTGCACCAGCCTTTCCTGGAACCGTAAGATTAGACCCTGTTTTATTTGTTTGAATCACTCAATTACCGGTACATTTTTTAATGCTTTTTTGTTGCCCTTTTATTGATTTTATGCTGTATTATTTATTTCATAAAATCTATGCCCCACTTGATTGTTTAGACACAAGTACCTCAACGGTTTACAAAGACATTTTAATGATGGTTGTTTTTAAAAGAGAGAGAATGTGTATATAGTACACCGCTTAGAGATTTTTAAACTATTAAGTGGTTTATAAATGGTTTTAAATAAATCTAGCCAAGAGCGCTGGATGCCTTAATGCTCCTAAATACCTGCTGTTGGGAATCACAAGTGACTTCAGACCCTCCAGGTTTCTCTATTTCCCAGGGACCATCCAGGATTTATAGAAGCTGTCCCAGTTTCTGATTTGATTCAATAATGTCCCACTTTTCCTTAGGCATTCCCCATTTTCATCGGAGAAATGTTGGGGGAGGGGTATGCAAGTGGGAAGGTTCTGCTTATGGGATTCCCTTTGGAGTTTCTGGTTGTCCACTATGCAAACAGGATGCTGAACTAGATGGGCCTTCGGTCTAAGCCAGCATACGAGACTCTTGCGTTATAATGTTCTTAAAATTCAACACTACTGTTCCCAGGAAGGGGAGGGGGCGATGTGCTTTATGGGTACACAAAGTTAACCAAATATAAAGCAGGATTTTAAGCCTCCTCACATTCAAGCAAGACAAGCATGTTTCTGGCTGAGCAGGCCCTTTTCAAAGCCCCTGAGTGAGTCAGGTGTCAGTGGGAACCAGAAGTGCATTGCCCCTAAGCAGGCAAGGAGGGAGCTAGAGAAACAAAAGGAAGCTGTGGAAGCAAAGAGTGCTTTTGACAGCAGTAAGAGAAGCCCCTTCAAACAAGGAGGCAGCATCAAATGGGCAATTCTACCTGGATGTCTGAGGCTGGCTAAGCACATTAAAGGATAACCCTTCCATCCAGCAGAGGGCAGTGGTGTTCAGTGACAATTCCCAGCACATGGCTGGGCTCTGTGGGTTGTGAGGATAGTTGCATTGGCCAACTCTTTGGCTGGTTTTTAGGGGCTGTCTGGTGGAGAGGTTGAGACAGCCCCTAAAAACCAGCCAAAGAGTTGGCCAATGGAACTGTCCTGCTTGTCCCTGTCTGTTCCCATCAGTGGCAACAAAATATTTTGCTCAACTTCCATTAGAAAGGTATAAGCAAAGTTTTGCAATGATATTGTGGGTGAAAGCCAAGGCAGATACTGAAAGAGTCCAGCTCTTCTGCAAATAAATATGAGGGAAAGGAAATACGATTTACAAAGTGGGTTTGTAGGGTAGCTCTTGGTTCGGAGCTTTTGCACTAAACCAGAAGTGCATAAAGCAGAGCAAATAAAGGAAATCACAGTAAAAAAAGACACAATAAAAATAATGAAACAAAATGCTTTCTGTGTTACCCAGTTGTGGCAAAGAAGGAGAGGGGTGGTGCAACTGATGGCCCAGACGACTCCAGCAGTCATGCAAATGTTTTCAATCCACATGTCTGAAAACTTCCTGTTGTTTGTTTTTTGTTTGTACTGGTGACAGGTTAGCTTTTCATATGTGGTCACAAAGAACCATGGGAACTGTACTTTGATGTGGGTGCTGTGAATTGTGGCTCTGTGAGGGGTAAACTACAGCTCCCAGGATTCTTGGGGGATAAGTCATGAACTTTAAATGTGCTTTATATGTATGGCACA